CCCGTTACCGCCAGGGTCACCCTGTGGCTCCGGGGAGCCTCGTGTGTTCCCGTGCTTGTTCTTCCCCCAACCCCCCAGATCCATCCCTTTCCCCACCTGCACTTCCTTTCGTAAACATCCCATAATAAGTGCTGCGCAAGCATCCCTGCATCCCAACGCGCCCCGTGCCCCCGGACAGAAACAACCCCCCTGCCCTCCCCTCCCTGCCGCGGGTACCTGCGCTGCAGGGCCCTGGGGCCGGACGGGGGGTGGGGTCCCCTCCTCTGAGCCTTGACCGGGCCCCCACCCACCCTCCTGCCTCTGGGGGACTCACAGGGGCTGCTGGCCCCTGCAAGGGACTCGCAGGGGTGTTACTGGGGCTCCCCCTCCCACCACTCCCCGTGCTCCTTTACAGTGGGCAGAGGAGCTTCACGGCACATCCCACCGGCGGGGAGAGTCCCTGGCACTGGGAACGGGGCTTCATTTCCTGAAGTGACGACAGCAGAGGGATGGGGCCCCTCTGCTGGCACCTCCATGAGCCCTCTGCCCGGAGGCTGATACCCACCTTCTCCCTGTTCTCTCTCGTCTTCTCCTCCGTCTCCTCCTCCTGGGGAGTCTGGGCAGGCACATGGAGGAGGTGTCCCTAACCCTAACGCTAACCACAACCCCAACCTCAATTCTAGCCCCAACCCTAACCCAAGCCCACACTTGCATACACAAGCACCCTCCTGCCCAGAAGGATCAGCTGCAGTGGGCGCAGACCCGCTGAACCCAGGCCTAGAGCCAGCACCTCAGCGCTCAAGCCCCAGAACCTTCTCCAGCCACCCCAGGATCCCCACGGACAGCACTGGGCACAGCGCACGCTGCCAGGCCCCTGCCACAGGCTGCTGGTGGCTTCTCACATCGCCCCAAGCTCAACACCTCCAGGAGCAACCCTCTCCCCTCCCCTGGAAGCTCTGCTCATCTGCCTCACGCAGACATGGCCCAGGGCACCCAGAGACGGGACCTTCAGTGCCTTTTGCACAGAGCTGGGATCATCCGGGTCAAGGCTTACTGCAGGGGAAGGGACCAGCTTTCTTCCCCAGGGGTTTGAAGCTCCCATCACATACATTACATTAGCTGAAAAACCAGCTCCTTGCACATGGAGAAGCAGAACAGGCGTCTGGGTCTGTCTGTGGGCCACCACCATCCAGGTTTCTTCCAAGAGCTCTGACATGAAGGGGTGGCTGTGGGCACCTCGGCTGGGAGCGCGGGAGTGGGGTCTGGCTGGTGGGGTGAGGTGCTGGGCACAGCTGTAGGGTCAGCAGCGCTTCTCATGTTTCTGCTGCACTTACCAGCTGCAGGTGTTAGGGCAGGGGTCCCTCCACCCCACCCCCACGTGGGGACACAGAAGACCTTGTTGCTGCAAATCACTGTAACGCCAAGGATGGTTTTACCCACAGAGGGACTGACAAAGCTGCCCCAAGGAAGAGCCCGTGCCTGGTGTCGTCCTCGTCACAGCAGCCCAGCTCTCCAGGGCCCACCGTGAGGCTTCACCTCTGTCTCCTGCCAAGGGAAGAGGCTGCTCCTTGCACAGCTGCACGTGCCCTGCGCTCTTGTGCCCACCCTCCCCAGGGCAGGTGAGGAGGATGAAGCCTTCCAGCCCCCAGCTCCCCCCCTTGCCTCTCGACAGGGCCAGGACACGCTGCTCCAGCTGTCCCAGCCAAGACTGGGGGTGGGTTTGACCATGTTGCGGTGGCACCAGAGGGCCCTTT